TTCTTATAGTCATATTGTTAGGTCTGGTGGAGAGTAAACAGGTGGCAAGAAGGTGGCTAAGGGTGGAAAATGGGAACTGAATTGTATCTAGGAACCAAATTGTGGCTAGGAACTGTTCCTTGGTGGGAACATACATAGCGAAAAGTTCCTAGTAACCTTTAACTGACTCAGGGCTCAGTACCATCTAATTAACATAACATGGGTAGAGCTTCATGGAGAATTCTGGAAAAGATGCATGCACAGAAAGGGAAACTGTTATATAACCTACTCTGTTGTGTAATCTGTCATGTGATCTGTTGTGTAACACCAACCTGTCAATCACCCCCAAAGGCAGGAAACAGCAACCAATCCTGCCAGGGGAAAGGCGGGACAAACTAGTAGGCTTATAAAAGGTAACATGTGCTCAGCCTCTAGCGTCTTTCTCCACTCCTGGAGACTGACCTGTTCCACTCTCTCTGGAATGTATTTTCCCTTTGTGTAGCTCCCTTTACTTTCATTCTTTCTTTTATGTGATGAACTGTTTGTATTAAGTTGCTCTGTGTTTGCTATCACTCCGTCATCAGCTCGACTTGGTACCAGTACTCATTCTTGATACTGGCAACCGGGGTACCAGAGAACATCCACACAGATGAATCTAACAATATTCTCTGCATATATGAGAAAACTATATACATATGACTATACACACATCTGACCACACATACTCATATATAGGTATGTGTAGACGTGTTTATTTTTTAATTTTCTAAACATACATGGCAGTATTATAGTTCCCTTTTTCAAGGCAAATCACATTTATTGAATACTAAGAGTGTACGGATCTTTATGATTGGCATAAAGAAATGACATGCAAATTATGAAGCTTTTTATTATTTTGTTAATAATAAATTTTCTAATTCTAGAAATCTAGAATTTTTATGTAGTCTGATTTTTCCACCTTTGCCTCTATGACTTTATCTATTGCTTCTTGGCTTTGGGAAGTTCTTCTCCCGCAAGATTTTTGGTGAACATTCAATTATGTTAAAAAAATTTTTTTTTGGCCAGGCACAGTGGCTCATGCCTGTAATCCTAATACTTTGGGAGGCTGAGGTGAGAGGATTGCTGGAAACCAGGAATTCAAGACCAGCCCGAGCAACATAGCGAGACCCCATCTCTACAAAACATAGAAAAATTAGCCAGGCCTTGTGGTGCATGCCTGTAGTCCCAGTTACTTGGAAGACTGAGGCAGGAGGATCGCTTGAGCCCAGGAGTTTGAGGTTGTGGTGAGCTATGATGACGGCACTGCACTCTAGCCTGGGTAACAGAGTGAGACGCTGTCTCAAAAAAACTTATTACATTTTTTAGGGTTTGATTGTGATTTTGGTGGGTAATATGCAGGGAACATTGAATTCTGTGCTCCCTGCTGACCTAAGGAGGGGACCTGAATTAGGAGTCTTTGGGTCACAAGTCACAGAAACTAATTTGAACTAGATTAAGTGAAGGAATTTATGGAATCACCTGAGTGAAAAATGGTGGAGGCAGGAATGCTTTCAGGCATGGCTGGATTCAGGGGTCCAAGTGATAGCTTCAGATATTGCTGTTTCTTGGCTACTTGAGTTGGTTTCATTCTCAAGACTCTATATAGTGGCAAGTAAGGATTCAGTTAGGAAAACAAATCATTCTAGATTCTTCAGAGGGAAGATTCTAGATTCTTCATAGGGAATTGGTTTCATGGGTAACAGAAGAGCTGAGAAGTCAAGTAGGGAATAGTGAGGAAAACCAGGTGTTAGAAACTACAGGAAGCTGCTACTCCCCTCAGCCAGAAGGACAAAGGAAGGAGGTGGTATTACTAGAACCCAGAAGCTAGAGCCATCTTGGAAGGCATAGTCCCATGGTTGGATTTGCTCAGAAGTGGCTAGAATCAAAGAGATTCAGCTACTACTGAAGACACCACCAGAAGCCTAAATAGAGGGATAAATACCCTGGCTTGTACCCTCTTTCCAGAGCCAGTTCTGCCAGTTCCCATTAGGCAAACCCACTGGTAAACCTGTAGGCAAAGAAGGCTGAGAAATGTAGTCCTTGCAATACAGAACAGGGCAAGGTGGGGAATGATTTGAGAACAGATAGACAAGTACCTGGCAAAGCTGTTAACACCTTGGCAGAATTGCTAACAACTTCCAAGTCTGGTAGAAAAGAAGATGTCAACCGTTCTTGAAAAAGTCCAGTGTAGCTTGAGGCACATAGGCACTCTGAACTAATTATGCGGCCAAAACAATGCAGTGTGCTGATTGGCTTATAACTAGGGCTGAGAGTGTGGCATGAGTAGGATGAAATGCATGGGAGAGGTAGGCTGTAAATGTGCACTCATCCTGACCAAACCACAGAGTGGGCTGGTCTCTGGGATGTTGAGAGTCAGGGACTTGAGTATCTTCTCAGTGCTCCTTCTCTCTTTCTCTTGTCTGCTTTTCCTTCTTAGTTTTACTCTCAGTTCTATCCTCATGAGGGTGGGTCCAAGGCTCAGGCAGCTCCAGGCTTATAAATCCCCTTTCCTAGAGGAGAGAATGCTCTTCCCGGACAGCTTTGATTAGACAAGGTCCCAGGGCAGACTTTGATTGGTTAGCTTTGGTCATGTCCCCATATTTGGACCTATTACAGGGGCTGGAGCACGAAGGACAGTGATTGGCTCAGCCTGAGTCATATGAATACTTCTGTGGCCCAAAGGGCAGGGTATGTAATGAGAAGCCTTCAACCAGGATTATTTGAGTGGAGTGGAGGGTATCCCCCAAGAGATGGAACGCTGCTGTTTGGGAAGACCAAATTCTCCATTCAGGGTCTTGATTTCTGGCTTAGTCCCTTCTCCCTGACCTCTGCTTCTTGACTCTCCAATGAGCAGAAAGAACCAAGGTTTAGGGAAAGACTGGTGTTTCCCTAAATCCTGAGAGTGCTATTGCTGTTCTGTATATATGATGAAACTTTCACTTTCTTGTCAGGTGTTAGAGAGATATACAGTTTTCCAGAAACAAAGCAGATGAAAGCTTAGCTCATTTGTCTAAAAGAGCCTTGTGCTGTTCAAAAGTAGACTAAGTAGAAAAAAGGCTAAAAGGAGGAGATGTAATTCTCAGAGCTGAAACATTCTTGTCATACTGGAAATGTAAATCGGCTAAATATCAGTTGTAAACTGGAACTGAGTTTTTGGGCACATTGGTTTTAGAGTATTTGATTTGGAAGTTTTTCTTGTGTGTACATCTGTGTGCATGCTTCTTGGGGGACTGTAGGGTGTCAATAGGGGTGATACTGGGATGTCTGGGGAGGTTCTGGGCATGTGAATGGGGTGACTAAGGAACCTTGGGGTATGACTAGGAGAGACTGTAGCAGACGTAGGGTGACTTTGGAGATGACTGGGGGTGACAAGTGTCTTGTATAACTTGAGGGTGCTATTGGGGTTGTCTGGGGGTGATACTATGGGTGTTAATGTGAGTTGCTGTGCAACATCTTTTAGGAGTACGAATAGGGTTACTTTGGGGGTGTCTGTGTGGGTGACTCTAGAAATGATTGAAATGGTTCTGTAGGATCACTTTGAGGATGTAAATGGGGATGACCCCATGTAAATGGGGTAACCTCATCTGTGGGGTTAGCTTGGGGGTATGTGTAGGGTTGATTATGAGAGTGTCTGACCGTTGAAATTGAGGTAAATGGGGGTGATTTGGGAAAACTTTTGAGGATGTGAGTGGGATGACATTGAGTTGACTTTAGGGCTACCTGGAGGTGACTTTGTGAGTGAGAATGGAGTTATTTTGGGGTTTCTAGGAGGTGACTTTGGTGCTATGAGTGGGGTGATTTTGAGGATGTCTGCAGCCAGATTTTGGGGATGTCTGTTGGGCTGCTCATGGGTGTCAGTGGGAATGACTTTGGAGGGTGACCTTGAGGAGTGTCTGGGGGTGACTCTGGGACACTTGTACTCCCTCCCCCCAGTTCTTATCCATATGAGCAAAGGCTTCATGTTACTGGCCCTGGGGCTGTGCTTCTTCCTCCTCCCTGCCATGGGTCTGTCCTTCCAGCCATTCTTCCGCCGCCTGCACAAGGTCGATTTTGTCTTCAGTTCTCTTAGCATCAGCATTGGTAAATGTTGGCTCGGGGTGGGGGTGGGGGTGTTCTGACCCCAAGCATCTCTTTCTAGCTTTGAGGAGGGGTATCTACACTTTATGCCCTGCTATTTGCTAGGTCTTTGTCTTGGAATGTCTCTTGGGATCTCTGCCTGACTCTCTGAGTTCTACCCTCTCTCAGTTGGGGTGTGTGTGTGGGATATCTCTCTCTCCCACTGTTTCCCTCTCTTCCCCCCACCCCATTTTCTCTAAGTGTCTTTCTTTCTATCACATATGTGTGTGTTTCTCTCTGCTTGTCATGGTGGGTAGAAGAGGATGTCTCTGTCTCTCTTCTCTTGCTGAGGGTCACAGAGCCACTGTCCAGCCTCTTGTCCCTCTCTGGCCCCACCCCAGGACTCCTGATTTTCCTCAGCCTGACACTCTTTGCAGTCAACTGTGAGACAGTGCATCCGAGACCACGGATATCCTACCTTGTGACCTTCTACCTATGCTGGTGTGCCAGCGCCCTGATGCTATGGGCCGGTGAGGGCGAGGCCTTGGCAGGAAGAGGCGGGGCCTCGGCAGGGCAGGGGATGGATCTTGGGAGGGGGAGAACAAGAGGTGGGGCCTTGGGGTGGATGGGGCGGACCTCAAGGGGAAGCCTCGAAGAATGGGCAATGGGTGGGGCCAAGGGTGAGGCTCGAGTCCAACGACCCACCTAGCTCTCTCCCCTAGGAGCCCTGTCCTACTTAAACCAAGTGGGCATGTGGAGCAGCAGGGTGACCTTTATGGAGCGGCGGCTGAGCTATCGCCGGTGGGCCCTGCAGCATTGTGCCCAGAGGTTCACATGCAAACACTGGAAGTCGGACATCAACTCTGAGCGTATCCTGCACCTGCCCAATTCACACACCATCCAGGATAGCACCCAAGTCTCTCCGAGGAATAGCACCTGAGCTTCTCAGGACACCGACCGGTAGCTCTGGCCAGATGCTGGGCGCGGCCCCTTCAGTGTGTACACACCGCCGAGATTAGCCCTCCCTTGAGACCCCACTCCCTGATACCAGGCCATGTCTTCCAAGGACAGGTGACAAACCCCCACCATGGCTGTAGGGCTCACCTTTGTGGTTCTGTGTCTGTCCACTGGGTCCTCACCGTGCCCCCATTCCGGAAGTCTGACACCCCCTCCCGCTCTGCCCCCCCTGAGCATTCCACTGAGCCCCGCAGTGTGGCTAGTTTGTGTGGCCCCCCCTCCAGGGTGCCCAGCCCTCACAGGCCATGCGCTGAAACAACTCTCTGTCCTTTCAGCCAGGGTTGTCTCCATCAGAATCCCTCTCCCGGAGTTCCAGCCCGGCCCCATGTCCACTTTTGCCCCTAGGTGGACACGGCACCCCTCAGCATTTGGTGTAGCCCCAACCCAGAAGGCGTGGCTTGCAATAACATCCCTTGGCCCCTTTCTTGGCTTCCCCATCACAATAAAGAGTGGGGCTCTCCAACATCTCCATATCCCACTCTCCACTGCCTCCATCTCCCCGACAAGGCAGGGTCAGGCCCAGTGTGAGCAAAGTGGTCTGGTGTCCCTGACTTGCCTTTTGGGATCTGAGCCTTTTCCTGCATATTTGTCTACACCTGTCAGGGCCCCTTCCTTTCCCCCACTTGCTCATGACTGCAGGCCTCTGGGCACAAGATTGGTACAGCTGAGGCGGCTCTAACCTCAGCCAAGTGGGTCCCAAGTGTCTAGGAGTCTGGAGTCTGGGAGGCCAGAGGATGCCAGAACATGGGACACATTTGATGCACATCTGATTTTACTTAGGGGTCGGGGACGGGCTGGGCATTCAGGGGTTGTTTTCCATGGTGTCCTTGATCCACTTAAGGTACTTATGCAGGTTGATGAAGAGTGAGGGCATCTTGGGGTTGGCACACGGGATATGGCCCCATGATGTGAGTCCTTGGAGCACGCCATTGCAGATCAGTGGGCCCCCCGAGTCACCCTGGGAGCACAAGGGGAGGAGAGACAGAATGTGAGAAGAGACAGTAGGGCCTGGATTCTGCCTGCGGAGCCTCAGCTTTCAAGACTTAGGGCCTCCAGGATCCACTCCCAGAAGAAGGTAGGCGGGGATTCCAACAGAAGGGGGACAGTGGGGTGGGTGCGGTGGCTCACGCCTGTAATCCTAACACCCTGGGAGGCTGAGGCGGGAGGATCTCTTGAGGTCAGGAGTTCGAGACCAACCTCAGCAAGAGCGAGACCCTGTCTCTACTAAAAATAGTAAGAAATTGGCTGGGCAACTAAAAATAGAAATAATTAGGCAGGCATGGTGGCCCCTGCTGGTAATCCCAGCTACTCGGGAGGCTGAGGCAGGAGGATCACTTGAGCCCTGGAGTTTGAGGTTGCTGTGAGCCAGGCTGATGCCACTGCACTCTAGCCTGGGCAATAGAGCAAGACTCTGTCTCAAAAGAAGGGGGATGCTGGCTTGAGTCCTGGCCAACGAGGAAGGGACTTCAGGGTCCAGCTCTCGTGCAGGGGGCAGGGTCCAGGAGGACAGTCCTGGCAGACAGGTCAGTGGCAGGAGGAGCAGGGCAGGACCATCTATAGAACCTCCTTGCTGCCCCCTCCCTGGCCCCCAGCATGGCTCATCTCAGAGACCACCTCTCCAGGAAGCCTTCTCTGACTAGACAGTAAATATGTGTCAAAGGCAGGAACAGGTGAACTACAGTGCGAGGGGGTGAGCTGTAGGTGGTAACTGGGTGGGGGGGATGGAAAGGGAAAAGGGTTGGGAGGAATGGAGGTGCTGGGGACCCCGAGATGGGGGGCAGATGCCTGGTTAGCTCTCAGGACCCAGTTCAGAAGCTAAGTCCCCTCCCCCAGGCCTTCAAGACCGTGAGGGGAGGGGCTGGCTCACCTTGCAGGTGTCTTTGCCACCCCTCATGTATCCAGCACACAGCATGAACTCTGTCACCTTCTGGATGTGGGCTTTGTCACACACATCATTAGGCAGGATTTTGAGGTCCACACACTGGAGATCGTCTGGGTATGAAACTACAAAACAGGGAGAAAAAGGGCTGAGGCCAGATCCCACCTGGATCCTTCTCCCTTGACCCAGGCAGGAGTCCCTGTCCCCCTTCCAGACTGCACAGTTGACCCAGGCGTACGGTTCTCTGGTGTGATGCTGCCCCAGCCAGAGGCAAAACAGATGCTCCCCAATTCAGGTTCGGGTTCCTCGAAAGGCAGATTCAGGACCTTCACAGCGTCTGTGATCTCGGCGGGCTCCGTCAGGCGGAGCAGCATGATGTCGTGGCTGTAGTCATCGTCTTTCTGGAGGGTGTAGTTCTTCAGGAGGCTCAGGTTGAATAGCGGGTGTATGAAGCTCTTACTGACATGGACAAACTGCGCTGTGTCTTCGTCTTCAAGCAAGCTGTGGCGACCCAGCCAGACCTGGTAATTGCTGGGGAAAGAGGGGGGTGGAGGGATGAGGAGAGGGGAGGGGGAAAGAGAAATGGGAGAGGGGAGTAGGGGGAAGGTCCTGAAAGAGAAACGGAAGAAGGGTGGGGGGATGACAGAGGAAGAAAGACACAGAGTCGTGGAGAAATACAGTGAGTGAGAACGAAAGGGATGTGAGTGAAAAAGGCAGATGCAGAGACAGAAACAGAGTGGAAAATGAATGGTCAGAAGGACAGAGGGAATGAGAAAGCAGACAGGGAACAGTGAGAAACAACAGAAGGAGCAAAAAACAGGCTGAGCAAGAGGAACGGCAGAGGCAGCAAGAAACAGGGAAGAGGAAGGAGAGAGCAGAACAGGGAAGGGGTGAGGAACATCCAAGGAGAGCGGAGGCAGGAAGTCAGAGGGAGAGTGAGGGCCAGAGGCAGAGAGGAAGCCAGGGGTCTGGGGTGTGGGAAAAGGGGGGGCCTGAAAGCAGCTCAGCTGCTGCTGGGGCTGTGCTGGCTCCCTAGAGGACCTGGCCCAGAGCCCAAGGTCGCATCCCCCTTTCCCTGCCAGCGCCCTCCCCCTCTCCATCCCTCTTTTCTTTCCTTCTCCCTCAATGGCCCCGCCCAGCTCCAGCTGAAACCAGCCCTTCCCTGTGTCTCCCCAGAGTGGACTGATGTCCTGAGGGGGGCTGGGCAGAGTGAGAGGCGCCCCCTCATGCACACGGGTTGGGGCTAAAGCCCTTCCTTCTGTCTGGGGTCCCCTTTGCCCCATCCTGGGTGTGTGTTCAGTAGTGATGGGGGAGGAGGTGGGACAGAAACCCAGGGAGAGAGATGGAGGGTGAGACCCATGGTGACAGAGATGACCTCAGAGTGACCCAGAGATGGTCAGAGACAGGGGAGATGCAGAGACATGGAGACAGAGCAGGAGAAAGAGACCAAAACACAGTCACAGTCAGACACACAACCAGAGCCAGAAAAGGACACACACAGAGACCTAGAGACCCAGGAAGCCATGGGAGGATGGTCCAGCCCCAGCTCTGCCTCCCCATGCACCTGGACCAGAACCTTCCCTCTGTCCCTCAGTCCCCCAGCCTCGCCTGAGGTTATCCAAGAGGAATGGCACTGGCTGCTCAATCCTGTGGGAGTGCAGGCGCCTTCCTCCCCAGACCCCAGGCCCCGACTCACTCACTGATGCAGTGGGCGGCCGTGAGCACCCACTGGGGGTGCACCAGGACGCCCCCACACTGGATGTTGCTGTAGTGGTACAGAGCCACCTGCCAGGGCTGGGAATGCTGCTCACACTCCCAGCCTCCCACAACCCGGGACTGGATGGCCGGTGCAGCACCTGCAGAGGGGGTGCTGGGTTAGGGAGGTGCAGTTGGCAGGAGGGTCAGGGGACTGGGCCAGGGGAGGGAGCTGTGCGCTTGGCAGGGCGTGGGGGCAGAGGACCAGGGCTGGGGACATGGCAAGGGGCTGCTGAAAAGGTTCTGGAATTATGGAACTGTTTCTGGGTTGGCGGCTGGTCCTGGGTGGGGAGAGTTTATGCTCTGAGCTTAGAGCAGACCCCAGGGATCAGGGTAGGAGAAACAAGACAGTGTCTGGAGTAGGCATCAGGTCACTTGGGGTGGCTTGGGGTCTTGGGCTGGGGATGGGAGGTGGTGGGTTAGGGGAGTGGAAAAGGACTCCAGAAAGGAGGGATAAAGGCCCCAAAGGAGAGGATCCAAGGCTGGGAGAGGAAGGGTGTGGGTTAAAGGGCACCCAGACTGGGCAAACAGTTGTGCCTGGGTTGGGCTTTGGGGATTCAGGAAAAGATGCAGCTTTAGGGAACCAGGTCTGAGAGGTCAAGAAGTGCATCTGGGCTGGGGAGTTTGGGGAATGATTTGGGGTGTCTAGATTGGGGCTGCAAGGGGTCAGCTGGGCTGGACAAGTCAGATTTTGGGGTTTCTAGGTTAAAGGATAAAAGAAAGGGTTAGGATTGAGGCTGGGGGTATGCTCCTGTGAGGTTTTGGGGTCCTTCCTATAACCCAATAGTGGCAATTGAAGAGGTAGGGGCCCTGAGAACAGGGTTGGGGTGAGGACTAGGATGGGGTTCAGGAGGAGGGAGGGGATGAGTGATAGTCACCATGGGATAGGGTGTGGGACAGGCTTCTTGTTTCTCATGGGGATGGGGTTCATGGTCTGAGGGTATTGGAGGGATTGGGGTTCTCTTGGTGGCAGTCCCAGGATAAGAATGGAGAAGTGTTCAAAACGGGCCAAGCAGCTGCGGGAACAGAGTGGAGGACCCACTTGATGTGAGGTTTCAGAACCACATATAGCCATACTTGGGGCAGGTCAGGGCAGGATGGCTAGCTGGGAAGGTGTTCGGGATCTTGCAGGTGGGGCCCCAGAAAACCAGATTTGTGCAGGAGGGATTCAGGTGGGGAAGGGCTGGACCTGGGGAGGAATGGGAATTCTGCAAGGAAAGGAGTATGTGGTTGGAAGGCTTGGGTGTTTTTCCTGGGAGAGCTGGGGGTGCTGGATGGGGTTCTGGGACAAAGAGAAGGAAGGGGCATTTGTGGATTCTCCCGTGCCAGATGGGGATCATCTGGTGTCACACAGTTTGGGAAGGAGGGCTGGCTGGTGGAATTTGGGGGACTTGGGAGGACCAGATGTCAGGGTCTGGAGGACACAGTTGAGAGCTGACAGCTGGATGGAAAAAGTCACTGAGGTGTGGTGGGATTTGTAGACTCCAGAGCCAGACCATTTGGCCACAGAGAACTAGGGATAGGAGGGCCCCAGGGTCCAGTGGAGTTGGGGTCCCCCAAAGAGAGGGACAGAGATGGCCCAGGACCTGCCCCTTTGTGAAAGCAGCAGGGACAGGAGCTGACTAGGGAAGAGGAGAAAGTACTGAGGGTCCCTGGGAGAGGGCAGGGACCTAGTGTGGGAATGCAGACTGTGAGAGGTGGGATTTGGGGATGGGGCTGCAAGAGACAGGAAAGAGCTTGGCACCCTGGTCTGGGATGGACCACAAGCTGGGGGTCTAGAGGGGAAGGACTTATGGGCGGGCAAGGGCAGCATGAGAGTCAGGGACCACTCCCCCTCCCACATCCCCCCCACTGTCTCACCAGTCCCCCGCAGGGACAGGGCGAGGCACAGAACCAGGAACCACATGGTGACAGAGGTGTCAGGCAGCAGGCAGGCGGTGAGCTATGAGCTGGGAGCCTCCCCAGGGAGCCTTTTAAAAGCCCTCATTTCCCCTACCCCCAGAGCCCCGCCCCTGCCCTGCTGGCACCCAGATGCTGGCCAAGGTCCTTCCCCTGTAGCCTGGGGGCTGGACAATCCCCTCCTATCCCCAGAGCTGTGAAGGGGAGGGAGAGCCAGCACCTGTTGTTCTGCAGGCCCTGGGTCACGCTGGATACATTCCTGGGGCTGAGGCCAGGTGGGCAGGGCCTGTAGCTCCTGGGGCTTTGCTCTGGGGGACAGAGCCAGTGAGGCGTGGTGGGGCGAGGGGGAACAGAAACAGGAGGATGGAGGAGTCACCGACCCCCAGTAAGAGCCCCATATACCTAACCCCTAAGTAAAGCCCTGCACCCAAGCCCCAGTACCCTTTAATACCAGCGGTGAGGGCTCCAATTCCGTGCTCCACTCAGAGACAAGATACCAACTTAGCAGTCAGCCTCTCCCTGAAGTGTAAGCCTTGGCTTTCAAAATGCCCTGATTCTACCCTTGTTCCCCAGATATGGGTGGTCAAGCTCATGTCCTCCAAAGTCCCAGAGATTCAGACTACTTGCCCTCCCAGGTCAAGATCATCCTAACCACAAATTCCAATTACCCCCACTCCCACCCTGCTCTGCCAATACAATATTTAGGTCTCAAGAGCCAGGTTCATGTACTTCAATGTTCAGTGACCTTGAAAATCACATTTTGGGGTCTCTGAAGAGAATCAGGACCTAGATTCCTGATTCCTGCAGCCTCAATGGTAAACCCCTAGGTTTCCAACATGTTATCTTGGTTTTTTGGTAAAAACAAAGCAACTCACAGGATCCCGGAGTCTGCTGTGTGTCAGGAACCTGTCTAAGGAAAGGAGTGTTTGTCTTTTTGCATGGCTATCAGGAAGCCTAGAACTAAGTCTTGAAGAAAATGTCATTCTTAGTAATCTAGTATTTGCGGGGTCCTTTCACTGGGATCCAGAGATACAGTATATTTACCCAGTGCCAGATGCTATTCTAATCAGTTCGTATGAATTACCTCATTTAATCTCACAGCAACCCTGTAAGTTAAGCAATATGATGATCTCCATTTTACATATGGACAGACCTAGGCTGAGTGAGATTGGGCCTCTTGTTCCAGATCACATGGCTGGTCATACATGTTGAATGGACAGAGTCTTGCTTCAAGCCCTTTCTCCTCCCCTCAGGATTGGGGCAGTGGGTGAGAACAGTGTATAGTGCCTGTGGCTTCCCCATCCAATCTTTGTCTCCAATTTCCCGTCATCCCCAGAAGAAAGTCACAGAAACTCCTATAGAGAAACTTGGATCAGTGCTCTCTGTTATCTTGGTGTTAAAGGCTAGGTGACCTTGAGCACCAGCTTTGCTTTCAGGCGGGACAAGTCCTTGGCTAACACCTGGGCCTTGGACAGGGTCTTGAGGGATGGCTTAATTCTGTTCCAAGTCAGGACAGGGCTGCTGGCCAGGCATGGCGACTTCTGCTTAGGATACAGGAGGTAGGCTGAGACAGTCAGTTAGTTCCTCTTCATGATTTCCCTGATCCACTCCAAGTAGTGGCAGACTTTGGTATAGACACCAGGCTTGGTGGTGGTGTCACAAGGGACGTCACCCCAGGACACAACGCCCTGCAGGACACCCCTACAGACAAGGGGTCCCCCAGAATCACCCTGCGGAGAGAAGGAGGGGGTCTCAGGATGAGTGAGAACCTCCTGGATCTAGTATCCCCATCTCCATCCTAATCACAATTTGCATGCCCACCCCAGGCAATCCCAACCCAACTCAATACAGTCCAATTTAACCAAAACCAATCCAACCCAACCCCAACTTAACTAACTCACTCAATGCATGTCCAATCTCACCCCCTTGCAACCCCAACTCAACTGAACTAAGCTAAATCCAACTCAACCCAACCCCCACATGTTCCCCATTCAAAATAAAACCAAACCCATGCCCATCCTCACAACCCAATCCCAATTTTCATACCTTCTGCATCTCAAACAAAATCTACCCCATCCTGATTCAACCCTGACATATTTCCCATCCAAAACCAAATCACACCTATTCTCATTCTCAACCCCACCCCATGCCATCCCAAACCAATTGCCACACCATGCACCTCAAACACAACGCAACCCTATCCCCATCTCCCCCATTCTAACTGCTCTTCCTTCTCCATCTCTCTAGGTTGGCCTGCTCTTCAACGTAGCATCTTCTCTAGCCCAAAGCAAATGATATCCAGCCCTATCCTAACTCTCAAACCTGTCCCTATCCCTCTTCCTCCACCTGATGGCTCCCTCTGGGCTCTGACCTCACAGGAGTCCGTGCCTCCGTCCTCTGCTCCTGCACACACCATGGTGCTCATCAAGTGCCCGGGGTAGTCCTTGTTACAAGATGTGTCTGAGATGATGCTGATGTTGGCACAATGCAGTGTATCTGGGAGACTCACTGGGGAGGACAGTGAAGTTGGATCAGATCCATAAGTTCCAGCCCTGTCCCCTCCACCCAAGAACCCTGGAGAATAGAGTTCCTCGAGGCCTCACATCCAGCTCCATCCTTTCATTCACCTTGTGATTCCGGGCTCCCTGTGGTCCCGGGCTCGTTGTTGGACACCAGGCCCCAGCCAGACACCACACAGACCTCACCCGGGCTAGGGCAACGGGTGGGTAGTGCCACAGGGTGCACCTGGGGGGTCAGGCGCGCGGGCCGGGCCAGCCGCAGCAACATGACATCATGGCGGTGACTGCGTGCTTCATAGCCAGGATGTGGGATGACTCGAGAAACAGCCCGCAGTTGCTCTGGTCCATCACGCTTGCGCAGGTTGTGCTCACCAAGGCGCACTCTCATGGAGCTGTGCAGGCGAGGGGAATGAGGAGAGACAACGGATCGAAGAGTGGGCAATCTGGGGTCCCTAGATCCTTTGGGAATTTCAAGATCCCACTACCCTTTCCCAAGACCCTGAAACCAAAGGTTCTGGCCCCTGCCCCTCAGGGACCAAGGAGTCCAAATCAGGCACACACTGGAACTGAACCTTCTCAGCTCCAGGCCTCCTCTCCTCAGAATCCAGAATTACAACATCCCTGGACTCATGCTGCCTCAAGAGATCAAAAGCTGGACTCTACCGTCCTCTTTGTCCTCCTTCAGGGACCTAAGAGCTCAGAACCCACCCTCTCCTCACCCAGGAGCTTGGCCTCCAACCTCTTCCTCCTTCAGAACCCGGGGTCCTGGCGCCAGTCTCCACCTTCCCCCTAGGAGTTCTGCCCTCCAGCCAGGCCCTGAGCCCTGCTGTCGTACCGGCTTTGGCAGTGGGCTGCAGAGAGCACCCAGTGTGGGGAGATGAGGGAAGCACCGCAGTTAAAGCGTCCACGCTCGTAGAGGGCCACTTGCCATGGCTGGGAGTGGGGCACACACTCCTCATCTTTCAGCAACTTGTCACCTTCCTGTGCTGCTGGGAGAAGGGGTAGAAGATCCCGAGGACAGGGACCTTTTCATCGCCTCCTGCACCTTCCATGCACCCTGCCCTCACAACTATTTTTCACCTGTGCCTTTCCCCAATTTCTTAAGAAGTTCCCTGCTGTTTATTTACAACTGCAGCCTGTTTCCTCCAGAGCTCCAGCCTCTACCCCATTTGCTATAGGACTCTGGGAGAGAGAGGAAGGGAAAAGGACCAGAGGGCGAGAAGTCCTCTGTGACTGGGAGTGGAGACAGGGACACTGGATACAGGTCAGACCGGTGGTCATTTGGAACCAGTCATTCAAGGTCACCAAATTGTCACAGGCCCAAATGGATGTGGACACTCAATATGTATGACGTACACTCTTGGCCCCAGAACCTGGACATCTCAGCCAAATTCAGCGTACAATACAAGACACAGTTGTGGTCACACAAGGTCATGGACATACATAAGCACACATCTAGGCTTCCAAACTTAGGTACAAATATCGACAGCTCTTTCAATCCAAAATTCACTTGCATACATAGGTTGCAGCTTCAAGAACCACAGCATATATGTTCATATGTATGTTTAAATATGGAGGGTTAAGGCATGGACACAGGCACCCACAGAGAATTGGATATGGACCAGACCTAAATTCGCAGTCTCCACTGTGGGTGTTGGCATCTGATGTCACAGACATTTGCAAGCAGGGTCTGAACAAAGAAGGTGGGTCTTTAACCCTGGGTTCAGACATACTCGCTGTGAGACTTTGAGCAATCATTTGACCTCTCTGTGCCTCTGTTTCCTCATCTTTAAAGTGGGGATTGTTGTAAGAATGACATAGGAGTGTGTGAGTGGTGGGTGATGCCTGGCCCATTGTAACTGCTTCATGTTAATATTAGTTATTTTTAACAAAGGACATAGATTTATTTATGATACATACATATTGATGTTCAGGTTGTGGACACCAATGTGGTCAAAGTTAGGTCGGACATCTGTACAGACACAGTCAAGGTAAAAACGGATTCATCCACCAGCCATTTTGTAGGGAGTCAAAGCTACAGACACCACCCCAGAGGGCCAACACTCAGATGTGGACCCACTGAATCAGACTACAGGGCAACAGGGCCGGGCATTCAGGGTCAAAGACATATAGCTGGAGACACAAGTGGCAGGACAGGGTATATTTACCCATCTCTAGATCAGCCCCCAAGCCAGACCCACAATGTTGAAGGTCCCTCATTGGGTTTCACACAGGGAGACCTGGTTCACACATGTGGGCTCGATGTGGACACACAGGGCCCTGTACACCCACCACACACACACACACACACACACACACAACGGCACCACGCACAAGGACATAATTAGGGACATTTCAAGGTCACAAGACCACGAGCCCCTACACTGGGCAGCACGGACGTGTCCCCTCAAGGTCACAGCCACACACACAGACACCCACACTGGGGCAAGATTTGCATCGTCAGATCAAATGCCCAAACACTGTCCAC